GAGTATCTTCACTGAGGGAGACTCCACAACCTCTCTGGTCAATCTCTTCAGTGCTTGGTCACCTGCACAGTAAAGAAGTTCTTCCTCATATTTAGTTGGAGCTTCCTGTGCATCAGTTTCTCCCCGCTGCCTCTTGTCCTATTGCTTGGCACCACCAAGCCTGGATCCATCCTTTTGATGCCCTCCCTTCAGATACTTACAGACATTGATGAGGTCCCCTCTCAGTCGTCTATTCTGAAGGCTGAACGGGCCCAGCTCCCTCAGCCTATATTCATCACTGAGGTGCTCCAGTCCCCTCATTATCTTTGTTGCCCTCTGCTGGACCCTCTTCAGGAGCTCCATGTCTCTCTTGTACTGAGGAGCCCAGAAATACTCTTCCCAGGTGGAGGACTCTTTATTTGCTTTTGTTGAATTTCAGAAGGTCTCTCTGCCCATCTCTCCAACCTGTTGAGGTCCTTCTGAAGGGCTGTACAACACTCTGGAGTATTTGCCACTCCTCCCAGCTTTGTGTCATCAGCAAACTTGCTGAGGAGGCATCTGCTGTGCTAGGCACCACTGCAAGCAAGAGACTATTATGGTAAAGTCAGTTCTAAGCAGTATGTACTATAGTTCTGTTTGCTCTGTACATACTCCTGCAGTTTTGCTGCTTTGGACCTGGACCAAATGTATAAGTTAGAAATCTTACAGTTTTATTCATGTCCAAATTCTTACTACTCCCTTCAAAGACTAGCATAAATCTTTCCAAAAGAGAGATTTAAGAGACCTTCAGGTCAAACTGAATTAAAACTCTGACAACAAAGTTATCAGCCATAATTGTGTCATTATTCTGAACAGTAAATGCTGTAATGTGTTAAACTTACAAATAAAGACTTTGGGATTTTAATATATCTTGTAATCATCTAACTTACGGATAGAGTCAGGCATTTGACATTGCAGGACTTCTTGAGTGGATACAGAATTATGTTGGAAATGGATGCAGTAAGCTACTCAAGGAGAAACTTAATATCTTCATGTGAGCTTTTCATGTTTAACTCTTTCAATAGCAGTAATTCTTGGAGCCACCTTCACTGAAACAGACTTTGAAAACCTATACTGGATCTCTGGCTTTTCTAAGCACCTTGTTTTGGTCAGATACCTTGTAGACATCATACTTATAGTAATAAGCTATGAAGAAAACTTGTATATCAATAATAAGGAAATACTTTAACTAAAATAACTGTGTTCTTTAGTTTCCACAAAGGGAATAAATTCATCCAAAAAACCTTGGCAACTAGCAGACTTAAAAAAGTGAGTCCTTGCCTGAACTCAGTCACAATTCTGGTGGACCTCTAAGGTTTCATTAGCTTCTTTCCAGAGTAATTTATATTAAAAGACCACTACATTTTATTTTAAGATTTAGCACGATTTGATTTGCTGGTTTCAGGTGCTCTACTGGCAATTTAAATATGACAGGTAAAGTTAAATGCTTATTTTACCTTCTTATTGCCCCACTCTGCCATGTTTCTGGCCTCTCTGAATTCAGGGTTTGCAATATGCTTGTCTCTAGATCTTTGGTAGATTTTTCATGAGTCTTAGTACTGTGATAAGTTGACCCACCACATATTTCTCCCTTCCCAAATGAACTGTCAGTGACTTTCCTGTCTTTGGAGGATTTTTCAATCACTGTGGTGTTTACCTGTCTCTCCACTACAGAGCATAAGGGTGACCAACCAACCTAAAAGCTGCACTCAGCCTTCACCCTGCACCCAGAAACAGCCCCTGACCTTGACTATGTTTGTGATCTACTTGAGAACTCTGTGTGCAGATCAGGGCAACATCCACATAAAAGCATTGAGTTAGCTAGTCAACAGTGATGACATGCTTATCTTCATTGCAAAATCTATCTCTTAGTTGTTGCTGGGGCTTAATTGTTATTAGTTTGTGTCATTAAACATATTCTATCCTATGTGAACCTGTGCTCTGGCTTGCCCCATCTTCCAAGAATGTGGTTCCCTGCCTTACTTGCTGATTTTACAAAGAGCTTTCCTTCCCTGCCTCCCTCCTTTTACTTATTTTCTTTTTCTCTTCTTACTTCTAATGATATAATTTTTTCTGAGTTGTGCCCTCCAACTTTTTAATTCTATTTCTCAGATTTTTAGAATCCATTTGCAGTTTATCACCTTATTCTCTCTTGCACAGAGCTACCAATAAAAGCAGCTAGTGAATAGGTTTTCCTTCTGTGCTTCAGATGGTGATCTTCTGTAGAGAAGGCTCCAGCTGTTTGATCCCATTCCCTTCAGTGTCCTTTAGGGGCACATTTTCATACTAAAGACCAGCCTGAACCTAGAGAGGCCTTTTCAGCAGTTTAGCTATGTTCATCTGTGTCATATTTCAAATTACAGTGGGCTTATGCCAAATTTGCAAAGGTTTGCAGCACAAGGCTACAAGAAATCAGTGTAGTTCATTGTATGGTTTTCTCAATCTTTTTTGGTTTGTATTTCCTAAAAAAAATAAATACAGGGCTGTAACATGCTTCCATATTATTAACACAATTGTTGAGAGTCTTGGTTTTCTTAGTTATCAGTTGTAGATTTCTCCACAGCTTAAAACTACTGGATTAAAGTATCAAAGTAGGGAAGATAGAAAAATCCCCTGTTCTTAGTGGCAAAGTGACTCTTGAGTAAATGAAAAACTACAGCACAAAAATCAGGATAGCAAACCTTTCTTTCACTTACTGGTGTGAAATAAAATTAACTTACACCTAAGTGTTTATTTGAAAGTGTTTCTCATTAACCTGATAATGCCACAAATACATGCAGTACAGTGAAAACAGTAGCAGCTAATGCAAAATTTCAAAGGCTGAAAGACACATCACAGAGGGCTGCTAAGTGAAGGCTTGATAAAGAAAAGGTTAATATGTTAATATTTTAGTTGTAAAGCTAGTTACAAGGAGTTGCATAAGCGACACAAAGACAGTGCTTTGAATTTGCATATCTTGCTGTTCTGCATTTATTTCTAGAGATGTCTAATAGGACACAATATCATATATAATTTTATATTTTAAAGATGTGCAATAACATTGCCCATTTTCAAACTCATTTTTAGGTAGAATATTTGTGTGTTTTGTTTTCGTTTCTGACTTTGCAGCATATTTCTTTAGTTTGAGAAAATGCATTCAAAGTCTCTAATAACATAAATTTTCCAGGCTATGTTCAAAATACAAAACATATTTAAAAGTGCAATTAAAATCAGGGATTTCATTTATTAAAAATTCATAAAGATTAAAAACAGAAGGCTAGATTCTCAACAGAGTATACCTTAGAGTTGTATTTATTTGAATTGAGCTATAGGGATTTATCAAATTGAGGATCTGGCCTTTCCACTATAACATTAAGATAAACCTTGCTGTTAGGAATTATTTGTTCAAAGACAGCAGCTCCCTTAGGAGGATATTAATAATACTGAGGTTTACATACTCACTTTTAATAATGTAAGTTCACAGAACAGAATGAAAACCATTTCATAAATGTAATAAAATCTAACAATTCTAAATTGAAGCATATTTATATAACTCTGTCTGTAAGTCTGTATTTGGAGGAGTAATGTGAAATGCAATCAAAGTAAACTTACATTACTACTACTTTGCTTTACTAGAGTTCAATACCACATTGTCTCCAAGCAGGTAAGAGCAGTCATGAGAACTATATTTTTAACTGCTTGCTTTAACTAATATTTAAAAATAAAAAAGAAACTTGGAAGAATTGCAGCCTAATTTGGCCACCAAATTTTAAACATTTTTCACTTGTTTACTTCTGTACTGATGATTATGAAAACTATTACTCCCATTCTTAAAAATATGATAACAAGATTAAACTTCCTGGTAAATGTTGAAGCAGTTCTTAAATTAGTATTGCCATGCTCTTCAGTTTGGCAAATACTAAAAGGGAAATTTTGTGTGAAGACAGAAAAACTGGTTGCTAATGGTTAGTTTATTTTGAACAACAGAATTTGGAAGGAATATTCTTTATAACAGTTCCTTTATGGGCGTAACCTTCCTTTACTTAGGAATTCAAAGTGATGCTTTCATAAGTGATTTTTGTAAGTGATTTTATATTCTCTATCCTCTGCACTGTATATGTACCTCACTCGACTCAAATAAAACATTTTCAAGTAGGAATCAGAATAGCCTGGAGAATTTGGGATTTTACTACCTTTAAAATTTTAGGTAGGTGGTTTGGAACTAGGGTAAGATAGAAACAAACTTGAGAACTAAACATAAAGAGGCTAGAGTAAACTGCCTAATGTACCTTTTGTTATAAAGGGATGCTTTAGCACAAAGGCTGTGTGAATATTATTATATTCCTTTGAAGTTTTGGTCACAGAAACTACTGAACTTTCAACATTGCCTGAGAACCAAGTAGAAATGGGATGCATTCACATGCAGCAGCAGAAACTGCTTACTAAAGGATTTTTTTATCAGGATCAAAGCTTCATTTGTCCCCTTAGCCAACATGTCCATTTGTTAGTTCTACTTTGCTGTAAAGAATTCTAGTAGGAGGATATGCAAAATAATTGTTTGAATTCAAAATTTAACACCTCTTATGAAAAAAAATATACATAATATGTCTGAAGGCAGAAGAACTCTACAAAAATAAGTTTTGACAGCTTCACCAGTAAGGCTAACACTAATGCATCTTCAACCTTGTGTAAGAGAGTACTTTGGAATTTCACCTTTGGAGAAGAACTATTATCTTGTACAATAAATAATTATGGAAATGTACAAAGTAAGGAATAATTATGTACAGCATTGATAAAACAAATATCACATTAGCTTAACTAAATATAACAGCAGATATTACCTTTTTTAGCATTATGTCTTAAAATTAATGAGCTTGTTCTGCTTAGATCTTTACTTACACAATTGCACAGTTCCCTTTCTTTGGATTATTTCTTTAGGCTACAGACCACTTCCATTCTTCATCTGATGAAAAGATGTCATTTCAGACTGTGTAAGACTCAACTTCATCTGGATCCTTGCTGCCGTGAAGGTGTTTCAGCCTGCCAGAAATACGGCCTCATCAGAGTCCTTGCCACTGTCTTCACTAGGCAAGCAGCCACCCCCACTTGGGGACCTACAGCTTAAGTCCTCCACGCCAGACTCCTGATCACTGTTGGCTGAGAGGTCAGGATCAGAACTTTTCAGGTTGTCCTGTGTCAAAATCAGGGCAGAATCTTCTTCATCCCCTTGTGAAGGACTCCGGGATGGGAATGACTTCAGATCGTTGCTATACTCCTGGGGAGTGTTAGCTAAGCTATTGTTGGAAGTAGACAGCCTTAACTGTTTGCTTCGGTCTTGTTGCTTACTCTTGACTTTATTATCACCTAATTGTGATTTCTGAAGATTCGCTAATCGCTGAAATAAAGGAAACAGTATTACATGCACACATTTAGGGCCAGTAATCCTCTTCTACATCTTTGCCTTTTTTTTTTTAAATATAAGTTCAGAGCCCAACCCAACCAGCACCCTTTAAAACTGTCTGTGGAGTATGAGAAGTGCACAGTTTCTCACAAACCAATGCTGACTTACAGCAGCCTCCTGAGCTACAATTCCTTCTGAGTTGCAGAAGGATTAAACTCACTTTCAGTAGTACTTGTGCACCAACACAGGTAAAATTTCATCCTTTAAGAATAAAAGACCACTTCTGTGTCTTAATGCAAAACATTTGTGACAATTTATCTGAAAACAAAGATGACAGATGAACATCCTCATTCCAGAAAAGGATTAGTGTGTAGTGACTCTGCAGCATATGGAATTGAGTTTCATTTATCATCAGTTACCAAGTCTGGGGTATCAAGCTCAAGTGTTTATTACCTCTCCTAAGACCTCCAGCTCTTCTTCCAGCTGCTGAGTTTCTTCCTTCACTGCCATCAGATAATCAGTAATTGACTGTCGAGGATGCAGCCCCTTTTCAAAGCGGTTGTACATGCCACTCCAGAACCTGGAATTAATGGGAAGGTCAGGAATTTGCTCTTTTAGTGAGGTAGCATCATGAGACATAAATGCACACTTTTTTTTTCTTTCTTTTTTTTTTTTCCCCAGATATTGTTCTAAATGATCCATCCATGGCTTATGTGTCATTAGAGTGCATACACATAAATTCATAGAGTTATTTGGCAAGATTTGTTCATTTGCATTTGCTCTGTCCTGAAGGTGCAACTCTGTGGACATAAACACCTTGAACCAACTTTGATATGCAATAAAAAGAAAGGTGAATGTAGCTTTGACTTAGATCACATGGCTGAATGCAAAATTTTGTGGGTTTTTTTGTATTATTTTGTTGTTCTACGCTATGGGCTCCAGAGCAGTGGTACTTATAAAACAGCCAAGGGTAAAGACAGTTTTTCATATTCCTAGTTCTCAATTGTTTAACTTCTCATGAAGTCAACTTTGAGATTCTGTATGCTTGTTTTTGTCTGGGGCTGGGGGGGCGGGGAGGTGTAGATTGTTAATGGGGGGGAAGGGTTCAATGTAAAAAAGAGTTAAAAATCATGAGTAAAAAACAGTATGGTGTCCTGTTCTCTTACAATTTAAACTGACATTTTAAACTGCCTATGGATGAAGCAATTATATACATTGGCAATTTCTCTTCCTGTTCTGTGGAATTACTTGACAAACCTTTAGTTAAGCAGTTGAGTTGATTTTTCGTTTTCAGGAGGAAAGGACTCCAGCTTACTCTAGGGCTCCTCTGTCTTCTGCCTTCCTGACACTATGGCCGTAGGCAGACTCTGAGTGTAACCAGTTCAGCAGACAGGTTAAGTAGCTGAGCTCTGCCATCAGCTGCAGCTGTCTAGCCAAGTAGCTGACAGATATTTTCGGAGCACATGCGTGCTCATTGGTGGCTTATTATTCCTATCCCAATAGTATACTATTTAATCACATTCCCCCTTAAGTTTATGATCTGATAGGTCCTGCTTGGAAATCTTTACGCACCCAAGTAATTCCATTAAAATCAACAGGATTACTCATCCATTGGAGGATCTGTTGTATCAGTACTTCTTTTATAAATCCCACTATCCCAAAGAATACAATTAATGACTATTTTTAAATTGTTTTTAAGTATGGTATAGTAGACATGAAAGAATTAAATTTTGTGTCATTTAGGATTTTTATTGAGTTTTTAACAGATGCTATTACTTGCAACTGGAAAACAAACTGATCAGTTTTACTTAAATCACAATTTTCATGAATTTCTATTAAAGTTCTACTTAAATTTGTTAAGATTAATGGCACAACTAAGTCAGAATGTCAATAGTAATGCTTCAAAAAGGATGATATTTTGTTACATTTTTAAAAAAATATCAAGTAAAGCTTACGTTGAGGTATAACAACAACATAGGGAAAGTCTCCTTTTTGTTTTACTAAACACTTGTTTTAGCAATGAAACCATATCATTTCTTGAAAAGATCCTTTTTATTTTTGACACCAATTGATCCAAATAAACATCAAAAAATCTTGGGATGGAAGAAGTTAAAGCAACTATAAATTTAGAAATCACAGACAAGAACAAAATTGAAAGAGGCATATCTCAGTGGAAGAAGTGAGTAACCATGAAATTAGGACACACAACTATCAATATAGCTTTAATCTTAAGCTTCTTTTCAGACTAATACTCTGTTGTGGAATGGTGCAGAGGTGTTTGCTGACTATGAGCACACAAGGAGCAAACACATTGTATCTGAGATTGAATTTACTCTCTATAAACTGCCTTACAGAATGAGAAATACTTGTATATGAAGTCACTCTGTTCTGTACTAACACATCCTACAATTTTCTGTAGCAAGTGATAGTACCTACTTGTACAAGAAGTTGCATGGAGCTATCTGTGGGTGCAGGGTCCCTTTGTTTTGACTGTGGTCTGACCTGTACAAAGGATTCAGGTAATCAGCACGATTTTTCCACAAGTGAGCCCATAATGAATATGTTCGTTCTTGGATTCTGGAAAAAAAAAAAAAAATTAAAGTGTCTGCTACAGTTCAGGAATAGCTAAAGCTTAGATGGAGCATTCTAGTCCTCTGTACTCCCCATTTACAATCAGCTTCCTTACCAAAATCAGACTTAAGTAAGAAGTATAGAGAAACAGAGACCCATATTCCCTTGTTGATTACTAAAGGCAAAATCCAATCCATTTCCCATGAAGCAAGAGCAGCTGGAGAGAAAAGGTGGAGAGACTGGTTCCTTTGCAAGGGGGAGAGGATCACTTTCATAAAGTAAGCTTTCAGGCTGATCTCCGCACCAAAAGGATGCCCGCATTTAAAAGCACTCCCACCCCACTGAACTGCAATTTCTTATGCAATTGGGTCTTGGGATATGATGATCTGTGAAGGTTTTGATTTTAAATAGACTGTGGCACTGTGGCTACTCTGCACATGAGCAGTGAAAGGGACCAAATGGCAGCAGCCAGCAGTAATTGCCACCTTCGTCTCATTGCTACTGCTGACATGATCAGGGTACATGAAAAAAGTGATGGATATCATCCTGTATTGAGGACCCAGGGGCCCAGGAAATGGATACAAACATCAGCATTGCCGGGAATGATGATGCTGTCTCTGTTTGGGCCTAAGGGCAGAAAGATTAATTCATAATTGCTTTGGGGCTGGGCAGCAGAAGGATAGTTTGCTGACTCAGTCCTAGGTAGGGCTACCAGACAAAAAGGCTGTTCATGAGGAAGTACCTGAGAGAGCAGAACTAAAATGGCCTGACTTGAGATCCAAAGACAGGTTAAAACACAGAAGAGCAGTAACTCTTGAACTGAGAACTTAACTAGAGTTAGTATCATCTTATATTAGAGCTACAGGGACAGCTTGCCTTGTATGTTGTTAGGGCTGCAGTAAAGGTAGGCCCACATGGCTGAAGGACTAATGCTCTTGTCTGTTTTCACTAATCCCTATCACGCACACCATGGATTACACTCCCAGCAGAGCTACACTGCAGAGAATCAACTTTTTGTGGTATTAATCTTTGTTGCCAAAAGACAACAGGCACCCTACGCCTTATGAAAACACATACATGCCGACTGGATGTTAATGTCAGACTGGAGTCAGACTGCAGGTTAATGTCTAACTCCTCAATACACCACTAGCCACAGACCCCATATGTAAATATGCTACTAAAGAAATCAAATGCAGAATATGCTACTTTCATACTTCAGCTCTCGTCTCTCCTTCTGGCTGTTACACAGGAAATTCCCAAACTGGCAAGAATAGATATGATGCTGTATGTGGATGAGGAATCTCTCATTGAATTCAAAGGCACAAGGAAACTGTTCCATTAATTGCCAAACACATTCAATGAACTGGTCAATAACAGGTGATATCTCCTTCGGATCGCCATCTAAATTGCCATACCTGAAACAAGACAAGATACATTTAATTAAAACCTGAATTCTTGTAGGAAAACTGAATTAACACTAATGAAAACAAACTCCTCACTTCTAGTGTGCAGCTTACATCATAGGCATTCATTTCTAAAATCTCAACTACTAGTATATTTTTTTACTTACAAAAATGATGCAAGAATCATGGAGTAGAATGAAGGCAGAATTACAAACAAAAAATACCCTTTTATGGGTGTCTTGTTACCTTCCCCCTACAAACAGCTGGCTGCTGCATAGCCATGTTTTAATGCTATTAATATAAAGTTATACCACAGTAATACGTCATCGTAAGAACGACTGCAATGACTTAATGACAAAAGTGTATCTTAAGACAGTTTCTTAATAGCAGACCATTCCCCAAACCAGACAACAGCAGGAGAGGTACAGAATAACCTCGGCAGAAAACAGGTTAAAGCTGCCCTCTCTTGGTGAAATTTTTAGAAGGTGGGAAATGTTTACATGCTGTAACTGTCAAGTGAACATCAAATTTTCTATCCATAAAAATGCCTCTTGGAACCACTTGCAATGAAGAAAAGGAGCCTGAAAATATAAAACACATAGAAGTAAAAAATATAAGTCTACATAATAGGAAGAAGCATTTTCAATCAATTATTCTTCTTGTCATGTGTGTGTATTTATATATATATATACACATGCCAACAGAGTGGAATTCCATAAACATCTAAACTTGAAACTTCTATTATTATCCAAGAAAATATAGCAGCACTGCACAGCAAACCAAAGCTACCAGTGGTTATTGCATTTCCTAATACCTTTTACCACTGATAATCATAGACAACTGACAGTATTATGTTAAATGAAGTAATTCCTGCTGGAATTTCACAGGTGGTCTGGAGCTGCACAGATTTCCTGAAAGCTTTATTGTGTTTTTTGAAACTATAACAAATTTATATTCAAATCAAGCTATATAATGTAATTAAACCCCAATATAAAAATTGCACTTTTTATTTTTACAGAAACTAAAAGGAAATTCAAAAAAGAAAGAAAATGTGAATATTTATCCATGTTTAAACATATAAAGTCTTCAAACATTATAGCACTTACATTGGATGGATGTTCAAAATAACTTGCCCGAATAAATTACTTTCCACTTCACTTGCCTGACGTTTCTGAACAAATCCTGCTGATTTTGTTAGAACTGAGTGTAATAGAAAGAGTACGTTTTATGTAATAGATAACTCACAGGCATGCCTAAGATTAAGTACTGTCTTGGAAGATGCTGACTTTGCTGAACAGGGACTTATGTGAGGAGCCTTGGCACTACTGAAAGATCTGCTGGAGTCCAAAGGGATTTTGCAAGCCACTTACATACTTTTCACTCACATGGACCTCTCAGTGCTCACAGCAACTGCAAGACCAGCACCCAGGATTCCCAATAGTGGTTTTGGAATGCAGATACAAGAAAAGATTGATACAAAAATATTTCCCTTTGACTTTTCCAGACAGATAAATTATATAGTAGGAGAAAAAGGTATGACAGTTTCCTGAGGGCATTCTGTTGATATGCTTTGTAAGGCAGCAAAGAAGTAAAACTAGAGTGGCAGCAGATACCATGTAAACACACACACACACACACACACACACACTTATATATATATGAAAACCTTAGCACCACCTTACCTGTGGTTAAATTTGTGACCAAAGGAAACCCAGTCTTTCTCAATTAACACCTAAAATGAGAATATTGTGTTCAGCATTGTGGAGTAGAGTCGACACATGTTGAAACAGGCAGAAGAGCGGTGTAAACAAGCAGCATTGGAATCCTAATTAATTCTTAGAATAAGCAGTGACAAGCAAGAACGATGTAAGTAAGCAGTATTAGAATCCCAAATAATTTTCAGAATTAGCAGAAAAACAATGAGTGATGAGCACTGCTGCAAGCTCAGGGAAAGCAGCACTCTTCATGGATGCAAATAGGATGCCACTATTTCAGCACAACTTCAATTAGCTTGCTTCCTCACTTTCTAAAAAAAAACTTATAAATGTCTCAAACATCTTTTTAACATGTGACCAGTAACTTGATAAGCATTCCTAGATTCTTTACCACTGCTGATATACATGGGAAAGGAACAGATTTTCCAACATAGCTGCTCATTGCAATCTAATGCCTAGAAAACACATACTTCTGACACTCAAATTTATAATGTTTACTGCAAATGAATACAAGTTCTTGCTTGCACGAAAGCTCCTTGGACTGCAAGAAAGTTTCCTGGTCTAAGTTAGGAAAAAAACAAAAAGGTGCCCAACTTATTCCCACTTTTGATAACACTTCATACAGAAATTGGGAGACTTTAATGTGGACGGATAGAAACCTGCCTTCCTACTTAAAAAAAAAAAGGTATATTTAAGGAAAGTTTATTTCCCATTTCCCATTAAAAGATATTCATCTTAAGTGATGCCATATTACTTTATTTACTCTGTGAAAGAACCCGCTTACCATGAATCCCTTCATAGTTCTGTAATATGGATCCAACAGAAGGCTTGCTACAGAGCAAACCTGGGCTGTCCTATCCCAGCCATCAGAGCAGTGAACAAGCACACTCACACCTTCCTCAGCCACAGCCTAAGGATACAGAAAAAGTCAGAAATTTCACAAGCAGGGAGGAAGACAATGGCAAGAGGGGAACAGTGAGACAGTGCCATAGAGTATTAATATGGGAACTGGGAAGCCTGGTTAATTTTTTATTCTGCGACAGAATTCTTGAATAATGTTGCGTGTTATTCCTTTCATTTGAAAAGTCTTAACTCATCCCATCCTGTGCAATATGGTGGTTGAGCATCACCTGTTTAAGCCCCACTATAGGAGGATGTAGGATTTGTTTCAATTAAATACATCAGTCTGTCAGAGTGGACAAGTACCTACAGCAGATTCAGATGGAGTTAATGCTCTAACTCACATACCAGTAACAGAATAGCCATACTTAAAATATGGCTCTTAATTTCTCATCTTGATGGTAATGTCAATAAGGGCAATCTTTGCTTCCAACGCCAGCACTAGCCTGGATGTTATTACAATACACTGCATTGCACTGATGACATACTGCAAAGATTTGTGGGGAAACCTGTGGTAGTGGTAAACTTCCATATCTAATAAGCAAGATTTTATCAGTATCTTTAATGTAAAAACTGGTGAGAGAGGATCCCATTTTATACATAAACACATAAAGAAGAGATGATACTAAGTTCTCCAGTCTGGTGTTGCATTATTTTTAGAACTCGAGGGTTGGTTGTTGGGGTTTTTTTTAATTCTAAAGGTTTTGGCCTTTGTAATTTCTAAAGAGAACTAAATTTAGGAAGTAGAAAATAAAATAGGTTAGGAAAGACACTGCTTAGAAAAATAAACATTTAAGTTAAGTTTGGGCTTAATAGGGAATGAGGAATAATAATAAATTTTCTATGTTTATCTCAAGAGACAAGTTAATTCTACTAAAATAGAAGCCCTGTGGGCAGAGGACCAAGAACTAAGAACTGGGAACTGTACAAATAAGAATCGTTCAAAATGCATGTCTGAGGATGCACAAGGCTAACAAGCTTATCAATAAAGGATAACATTTTTTGATAGAATATTAAGACTAGCCACCAGGGAAAAGCTGGAAAAGCTAATGTAAAAGACCTGATTTCTATTAGCTAATGAAAGGTAGTAGAGCAAGAGAAACAAGCAGTTAGTGAGGAGGGAAATTCATGAAGTTTTATCTATACAGTCGTATGTAGCACATCATGTGAATAAAATGCCCTATAAGAAATTGTAATAGTAATCTCAAAAATAGCAGTAAAAGAGCACAAGGAAGGAAGTAATAAAATTAAAGCTACCGTTGGTAAATGACAAATGTCTGCATTACTTTGGGTGGGATTAGGAGAAATAATTTCTTACTAAAGCCAACAACTGTTTTCTGGAATATTTCTCAATTATATAAGAGTAGAAACTGCTAGAGAGTTTGGCCATGGTCCAGGAGGTGAATTTAGTTGGTTGCCTGATAACTCAGAGGGGATAACACATCAGTAAATTTTATATAATACCAGAAACCTTCAACAAAGAAGATGTCCAGAAACCAATGGAGGAGGCGGGAAAATAGGGAAAGAAACTGTAACAATCACTGCTGGGGAGTAAAGTAAGGACATTCAAATGCCTGGCATAACAAGTTAAGGGCAGGTAGAGGCTTTAGTACAAAAGATATTAGCAAAAGGTCCACACAACAGCATCTAAGAAACATCTCTCCTCATACATGATGCATTGCAAGATGGGCTATTTTCAGGTTTAACATCACTGAAGAGATAAAAGAAGTTACCCACAAGCAGCGAATTTGGTCCTAACTTTCTGTGTCTGGTTACTGCAAGTTCTGATCTCATTTTATACACTTTACCTTTGCAATAAAAATGCCAGCATCCATAATGGCTTTGATATGCTTCAGCCAGCCAGAATTTTCTAGGCCCCATAGAAAGTCGCTCATTGAAGGTGATTTCAGCTCACAAACTGCAAAATAAGCTACATTTTAAATGTACAGTAATTAGAGTCCCTTAAGCTTCACTGACTGTTCAGCCTCAGAATTATCTCTTCTTCAGATATCCCCTGTGTAAAACATGCATCTTTTCAAAAGAATGACTACTTCACAGTCAAACCTCACCATTGAAAAAGCACATATATTTAAGAAACAGGGCTTGGTCAAATTTCACCCAGTATGTTGATTTAAGTTAAAAAGAGAAGCTGTCATAAAGTCTATTGCAAACAGTTTACCAAATGCATCCTTCTGTGAAGCACAGATTTTCCAAAATTGTGTTGGGAGTGAAGTTTTCAAACTCCTGGGAGGGGCTTGTGTATTTACTAATGAGGGCTTGGAAACAGAAAGCACATGATTTCTACTGGCACACAGGCAGACAGCCACTGCCTCCTACTCCCAGCATCACCACAGATGACGGTGGTTGAATTAAAGCAATTCAATCTACACTTCTCCATCCCAGAATGAAAGCTTACTAAAGCTTCACTTAGAAAGTATTCTGACGGTGAGGACAAGCCATAATTCATCAAGGAAAATATTTTCCTGAAAACCTTCCAAATTCTATGCCATGTTTGAAGGAAAAAATTATAATCTCTCAGTTTTTACTTTAAGTTTAGGTTTGGCTGTATCCAAGTGTCTAATTTGTAATATTAGAGAGTTTGAGGCATTAGAAGAATAAAAGAGCAATCAGAATCTAAATCAAATACCTCAGCCCAGCAGCAAACAAATAATCAATGAAATTTGGTGCAGTCTGTTTTCAACGGTGAGATACTAAATTCACCCCAGAAATAGACTATACCTTTCTTTTGATCCATGTAGGGTCATACTGTTTTTTAAGGAAAAAACATTAGCCAGTGAAATTCATTTTCAGAATACAGTGAAAAATGTCATGGGTTTTACCACGTTAATGTATGATCTGTCAATAACTAATGTCTTAGTCTCTTGTGGTTCAGAAATCTTAAAAGACTCATTTATGGCCACTGGGATAATTTTAGTTTCCTTCGTTGTAACTGAAATTTAATTTTATAGGCCAAAGTCAGATTTTATACCATATCTGAGCTATTGGACTGTCCTAACTCCATTTAATTAAAAAATAAAATGGCCTAATGTATCCATACAAAGTCTCACAATGTTTGCATGTAAGGCCTTTTCCAGATGGTTATTTTAAAAATAATTTTTGAAGGATATTTATAAAGATGCAGAGATAGCAGCACTGAAAGCAAACAGCTTTTCATATGATTAATGCTGCTGTGCAGATGGAAGCATGACCACTTAGTGTCTGAATTCTGGCTGAAGCTGTTGTCTTTGTTTACAAAAGCCCAAGGTAAGGCTGAAACAGTGCTTTGCTCCTTCCCACTGCCCAATTAGAGTCAATATTTACTGACCACTTCACTGAGCAAAGTTCAGACTGTCCTAAAGGCATACACTGTATATTTCACATGATTTTGGCAACAATACTGAGTTTGATTATGAATTCAATTATGAGGCTTATCCTAAGGGGAAAAGGCATTTCCATCTCAGAAGAGAAGGTACCAAAATCTTTGAGAAATAAGGCCTGGTACATCCACGGTGTAGGCACAGGAAAATCAAGAGCCCTTGGGCAGAGCTCTGAGAAATCCAGTGGTGTGCCCATTTCGCAAGAGGAGAGGAGGAAACAGGACACATGTTGGAAACTGCCTCTTCCACCAGCAAAAGTACCACAGGGGGATGCTGGACCAGTTCTCTCATTTCTGGAAGGAAGGCCATAAGTAGAGGAAGGAATAATTGCTGTAAGCCAAACTCTCAGGCATTCTTACTGGCTGATCTGTCACTGAAGTCCAAGGATCAGAGGGCTGCTCCTACATCAGCAACAACTGCTCCTGGTATGAGGGGAGGAGAAGCTCACATTTACTGTTTACAGACAGGGAGCATGTGGGGTCAGCACCTCAATGCACAACAAACGGGGGTCAAGTCTTGGCTGGCCCCTGGATGTGCGGCACAACCCATCCCATCACGAATGCCAAATAGCAGCCTCACTCAGCCCTTGCATCTTTACTGAGAAAAGTCCTTCTGTAACATGTCCTTCTAATATTAAAAATTATTTCAAGGAGGTTGTGCATAGAATCAAAATTGTCCCAGGGATCTTCACATATACCTCTCTTTAAATTAAAAAAAAAAAAAATCCATACTATATTAAGCAATATGAGGCAGCAGAGAAAAAAGTAAAACCTTCTTTTTCCAAAAGGAAATGCATTTTACTTCCAGAGTACAGTCTAATCTCAACATTTTTTGCATATTCTGAAAAAATTTTATCCTAAAAATCGAATCATTTTATAATGCTGATATAATTTGCCAAAAATTACCATTATATGAGGATAAATACATGTTAATGTTAAGATAAAATTGGTAGAATTGAAGTCAGTAAAATCATAAAGCTGAAAACAATATTTTTTACCTACTGAAAGAAAATATTGACATTTTTATAAGTATAAATTAATTTCTTCAGCTTTTTCCTAAAGAAACATCGTCGAAATGAACACAGTCCTAATATAAGTGCATTTTCCAATGGAAAACTGAATAATAAATTTTTGTTCAAATGTTCTCAGCATTTAAAATCATATATTGAATAAATCATATATATCTGCAGTCTGTCATGTGAAGATCCTCCACCCTTCAGTCCTGTTTCTAATCTTATCAGTCAAGTTGCTAAATATGAGATTTCAACATAGCAAATATAAAACTTACGAGAAAAGCAAATGTTTTGAGCATACAGCTCATTTGAAAATAGATGCTAAGAATTTATGCTCCCCAAGCAGCCTGAAGTGTTAAATGCATTAGAAATTATCTTGTTACATGTAAGTTTGGGCCATGGACCAGTCTCATGAACTTTTGGCTCAAAAATTATACACAGTACTGCCCCATGCAGCCAGGCTGATTGTTTACTATTTTATCTTTGATCGTCTTCATCTGAACAAATAAAGGGACTTGTTCATTGACTCAGCCTCTCTCCTAGTCAAACAAGACTTCCTAGTGAACTAAAAATCCTTCTGTTTTCCTACCTGAGACCCTTAGACCAAGGAATTAAGTAAAAATATGTCATGAAGAGAGTGACCATTTTACTTGCATCACATTTTAATGCTGGTTTTCATAAAATGCTCTTATTTTAAACTAGAGCACAGCTTTTCTGTCATGAAAAATTTAAACCCTTCTTAGATCTCCAATTTACATTTGCATACAGTTGATGGGAGACAGATGAAGAATAAAAGAGCATGGACAGAGCATCAAGTCAAGAACAGCTAAATCAGGCTGATCTAGGAGGTGATGGTTGTTGATGATGTACATGAAGGAAATACTGAGACACTGGAGTGAGCACTATTTACAATTTGCTTGTTAAAAATCAACAGGCCATTGAGGGTCAAGGATGGCTTATTTATCCTTACTCTTTTCCCAGATGACCTCTAAACAGTCATGCACTCCAAATATGAAACAGAAGAACAGATGTGCTGGTTTACATACTGCTAAACAATTATTATTAATCTGGATGGGATTATGAAGGTGCTGAATGGTTATGCCCATTGACTGTGAATTTCATGAATAGCCCCGATGTGTCATGTTCTATACAGGGCATGAATAAGTATCTATTAAAATTCACAGTCTAAAATGCATGACTGCCTTTTACACATGCAAAAATCAAACCATAGTTTTTCTAAGCTTTAAAATAAAGATCCTGTATTTTCCACTAGCCTCAAAGTCAGCTGTGATTTTCCTCATTTTACCATCAAAGTGTGAATTTCAAAAAAAAGATATAGTAGCAGTAAGGTGCATTGAAGTCAAATGAATTTTGTCACTTAAGCAATTTGGATTTCAGCCATGAAACAAGATGTTTGTACAATTAGGAAATCACCACTAGTTGCCATGATGCTCCATTGCCCAAGTCCCAGTAGCAGCTGCATGCAGCTGCAACAGGCAAAGATTTCTTTTCATACCTGTTTTCACTGCTGCTGATTTCAGAGCAGTTACCCTGATTTGTGCGACAGAAGGATCAATTATTTCCTCTAGTTTCCAATGAAGAAGAGTATTACCTTCAAGCATTTTCTGCAGACTATTTCTCATGACATGGATGTTCTCAATGCCTATGAATTGAAACTTGATGTTGGAGTAGTTGTCTTCATTTTCATATCCCTTCCCTGCTGCTCTGTTTGCCATTGCATTGAGCTGAAAAACATATGGAAAACTGGATGAAAACCAGTAGCAATTTCTTTTCAAAACAAAGCTTGTGGTCTACGGCAATAAATCAGTGATTTAAGTCAAGCAAGCATTTATCACAATGTCAACACAACTGGTTATGAATCAGGGATCTGTTTACAGGCTATTGCAGGGTGCTGGGTTGCTGAGTCTCTGATACCCTGATTTCACAGCTTCTGAGTGAACTTCTTCAGTGAGGTTAAACACAAAAAACACAGCTTAGGTAGGGTTCCTCTGCAAGAGCATGAAAGTTTTAATTTGGTTTTAAAAGCCTATTTTGATTTTATATTAGAGCAGCATCATGTTTACTAGCAGAATACACCCAGCAGGTGGCAGTGTCTCATCTGCCATGCCACTGTTTCATAGCATGTGCACACTAATGTTGCCGAAGTTACTGTGTTTTACTACTCAGATCATCCAAAAGTTGATAGAGTTTACTTCTTTGATGCTTGGAATAATGAAGAGAGAGTTGGAGTAGTTTTTCCTCATTTTATAATATCTGGCTCGACTTGTGTAAGATCACAAAATATTTGAATTGACAAAATTACCACAGATATGTTCATTGGTAATGTGGTGCTATCAAATAAGTTACTGTGCTTCAGCAAAAAAATACATTCAGCTGGAAGCTGAAGTTTTGTCTTTAAATCTGTTACTTGTTTCCTCTACATGGAAAAGTCACAAAACACTTCTTTAATTCAGTTCTCCCCATCATAAAATTAAGGGTGTTTTAATGCTTATTCCCCCCTGTTCCATCTCCCTTTTGAGATCCTTAGGTAGAAAAGAAAAGCTCCTTATGCCAAATTTTGATCTTTGGGCTGACAACTCATGCTGATAGAAATGAAGTAAGTACTTTCACTTCATTACCCCATCTACTTTTTTAAATTTCCTGTAGCAAAATGTCATTGTGCAATAGAAAGAAATTGTCTTTTTGCATAAAGTCCCTGCTCTTCTATGAAATCCATGCTGTAAGGCTGGGGAGGTTTTGAACTTCCAAGACATATGAAGGCTCCAGGAGTGACAAAGCAGTGCAAATGGCGGGACCTCCATGCCTCCAAGTACAAATAAAAGCTTCTGTACAGGGAAGATTTAAGAAATAAGTAACAAAGGATATTCCACATCCAAACTTGAAGGCACTAACAAAGCTTTTGGAAAGACTTCATGAGGCATCACTTCTACTCAGTGACTTATCTTCATTTCAGTGAGAGCCAACGCTCATGAAAAAATTGAAACAAAGTATCTTTTAGGCATTGCTAAGGGACAAGAGGCGACGCCAAGAACTCCATTTCCGGTTTATTTCCCAATATCGCAGGCAATACTATTGATTTGCTGCTTCTGTAGTCACTTCTGAAACTCACAATAATATACTCTACTACTTGACTAATGGCATCATAGAATACACAAGAATGTCTCTTTTTCTGACCTCTTCCACCCCAAACACACATATGCCTGATATTCTAATTTGGAGCCATTGCATGCAACTGAGGACTCATTGTCTGCTGCCAGCTTTCCTCCAACCAAGATGAACAAGCCTAGCTTTTTTACATCATATTTCAAAATAGGTTTCCAAGGACCAAACTTGACATCTTAACTTTCAGAGGAAACAGCTAAAAAGTTACATTTGTGGACTACCATTAGGAATTGAAACATTGCATGAATTTCATGATACAACAGAAGAAACCACACTCTAAGACAGGAACTTAAGCATAACACTAGCATTTTTGATTTATTCAAATCTTGGGTAAAACTTCTTTTAACTTGTAGTATGCAGTTCAGGAAAAAGTGCAGGCAAAACCACCCATGCTTGTCTATCAACCAGCAGTCTGCTGATGTTTTGACTATTAATGAATAATAAAAAAAAAAGATACAGCCTGTGAACAGCATGTCAATTAAGGACAGAATCCTCAGTGTGATTTGATAGAAAGATATAAATTATCTGCTGAATCCTAATCTTCCTCTTTTGAAGTAGACCTCAGTGTTCTTGTACAAACAAAATGAAGCAATTTCTCTCTGCAATAGCCTTATAGTTTCAGGAACAAAGATCTGTACGCACGAGTCCAAGCCAGCACAAACCCCTGAAATCCTAAAGAAAAAACAACTATCCTCTAACTGACCTAATCCTCAGTACATAAATAGTATTAACTGTTTCTGCAGCAGAGCAATTTTATCACAGAAATCCTTTCTTAGAAGAAAATCTGAAATAGCCCTCTTTAAAAGTAAATAAATATAAGGTTAAATTTGCAGGGCTTTCTGACACTCATTTATTTTAAATACTATCAGTTGCCAAACTTTGCAGCTGCCACAATATTTACTAACAAGTTTTCCACATCATCTACCAAAATTCCATCTGTTGCTCTTAAAGTAGTTGTTGGGAAGCTCTCTAAATTGTGCCTGTCCTTGATTAATCTCAGTGAATATGAGGATACAACCTCTAAAGGTAACAGACCCCACTTGCAAGATTTCCTGGCATTTTCTTTAATTTGGAGAATAACCAAGTTGTGTCTTTTTATAAAGAGTATAGAACGAATGTGTTTTAGCTATAAACAGTACGTTTGTATGAGCTTCCTCTGGAGTCACATAGAGGAAAGACAGTGGCCTAAGTAAAGTTCTGCATTTGGTCATCCTGGTATATTTAAATGAAGTGGAAACAAAACTTTCTTGTACAGCCAAATCTTTTGTTTTGAAGATTACCAAGTGCAATGAGGGACAGCATATGAAGAGCACTTGGGAATGTTCAGTTGAAGGACCCACCAATATTCACAATCTTTGCAAGGAACTGGTTCTGATGAGAAAAGAGGAAAACAGTTTTTTGGCCTCCTACAGCAATGGGAAACCTTGCACCAGACTCCATATCTTAGCTTCACATTTGCTAAAGGTTCCTTGAGGAATGCCAGGAACCTCTTCCACTGATACCTCTCCCTTCTATGCTTTAGATTTATAAATGCATCAGCAGGTGGAAAAATTGAAACAAGGCTGTATTTGGCACCTGGGATCACAGGAGCTTTAGTAGATCGGTCCATTTTTGCAACACAGAGCGAAGTAGGAAACTGGTATACAAATTTCTTTACATCAAACCCTTTTTTTTACAGAAAAGTTCAGTGAAAACAGTCTTCATCTCCTGACTGGTTCCTGAAGGAGCCAGCATTGCTGGAAATACGCTGGCATTCATGGCTAAGCAAGCCAATTCCACTCTCTCCACAGTCTTCAAAAAGTACAGGCTTTTTTCACTGCACACAGAAGGTGTCTCAAAGTCATTTATCAGAAACGTTTACAGGAAGGGACCTTTCTGTTAATATATTGTAAAACATTGTTAATAGCCAAGTCATTAAGTCGTTAGCAATAAATCCCATCAGTCAAAGACTGCCTTAAATGGGGAAGAGTACCAATATCATCAGGCAGGAAACAAGCTGTAACTATTATTACATCTAGAAAACCGTTAAACATTATTTAGGCAGCTAGGTCTGTACTTCATATCTAAAGTCTGTTCTGAACACAGTGGTATACCAATCCTTTCCTAGTGATCATCACTATCCACTTGCTTCAGGACCACCAGTAAGGTGGTACCATCCTCGTTTTCCAAATAAAAAAGAGGGAATTGAAGGCCAAATCAGTCCCCAGATTACAGTCCTCTGTGTGACTTGGGTCAATGAGACAGGCCAAGGCCCCGATTTTCTGGTTCCTGCCTCCATTACAGTTGTGAGCACTCAGTACCTTTCCTCCAGTCCCCATGTCTTCAGGCAGTAATCAACCAAACAGGTTCCTTTTTTCTGCTCCAGCTCTGCCACGGTTGCCCTTCCTCACTCCGTTCTTCACGTTTCTCAGCTTTACCCACCTTGCCTTTTCAGGGTCTGTCTCCTGATCTCAGGATACTGAAACAGCTTTCTTGTTCCTTTTCCTCTAACGTTTGCTCTCATTTTTCCTTTTCCCATGCTATAACTCATCCTACATCTATGAGGGATTTTGTGGAGATTTGCCCTGTTAGCCTCTTTTCTTCAGGTGCTTTGGTTACTTCAACAGGGAAGTTGCTCATAGTGTAAGAAAGAACGTATCCCTGCTCCCACATCCAGATAATGAAGTCTATATAGTCCTCATCACCTTGAGCTGTTTGCTAGCATGACAACTTGGACAAAACTTTTTTTTAGCTTCTAACCTCTTCTGGATCGTTACTGAGTTTCTATGTTTCGGCACAGAGTAATTTTTCTAAAGTTTTTATCTTGGCCTGAAATTTTTTGTCAGTTGTAGAGATGTGGCATCTGAGATCACTATTTACCAAATTTCAAATTCTCTCTCAAAACCACAAAATTGCTGGAGATATTCAAAAAAGTCTCCTCCATTCTTGTAACTTCAGTAACTGGTCTTTCCTTTGTCTTTATGCACAGGTCATTGACATTTTCCCACTTGCAAGAGAAAATATGCATGGAAAATTTTAGTATAAGCAGGCAGAGGTTTGCAACATTATGAACAACTGTAAAAACATTTTATAATGGGAATTAGATTTTGCTAGTCTCATCAGAAATATAGTTACGGATAGCTCCTATGTGTGTGTAAATAGTTACAACTAGAAGTTATTTACTTTTCTGTATCTTAACATTTTGCTAAGAACAAAAAGAGAAAAGCTCAGTGTAAAGGAAAAAATTCCCCTAAAGATTCCCAAACAATGCTGGCAAGGTTCCTAGCTAAGATTCCTCTGATAAATCCTGATGTATCTGTGGAGTTACATAGGTGCAACTCAGTCTTGCTATATGCAAGAAATCTAATACACTTACTTTGGGCCGAGTGTCAACAACGTATATGAAATCACTTCCTGGATTTGCTTTTCTAATGGCCTGGAGCATCTGTTCGTCCTCAAGGCACCGAGCACTAAAACCAGATAAAGGCTGGCTGCTTCTACATATGGAGGCCTGCAGAAAAACAGACAAACAAAAACCCCAATATTATTATTATTAAGTAGAAATTATTAAGCATCCAGAAGCATTTACAAAACCATTTGTTTGTACAGTTACATGAGAAGGGCAGAACGGTAAAATTAACTACATGATAATAAACACATTATTTTTAAAAAGGCAAAACAATACAACACTTTTGGCCCAAGTCTAGTCTCGAATCCAAGTTTTAGAGCTATTTTAAACATAGTATTTGCCTAATGTGGAATAACTCCTGAAAGGTCATAGCTTGAGGATGAGTACAGAATTGCAATCACAAGAACACAGATATAACATAAAGAATAGGTTCTTTTGCACTGTCACTCACACCAGGTATGATACTGATTACACGCAACTTACACCAATGCCTGCTTTACTAAACAGCCTGACACCATGAGTCAAGGAAACAAAAACATGTAACATGCAGCCAGATCACTGATGGTCGTATATTTTTAGCACTGTCTCTGGAGAAAGACTTTACTGCATAAGAAGTGGGTCAGGCAGCCTGACTCCTGGAGTACATTTATTAATCATGGCTATTGAAGGAGGCAAGAGAGCTTCTCCAAAGACCCATCAGGATCAGACCTCCAGATGAAACCAGGAAAGAAGGAACTAAAAGTGAAATAGTGAGCAGGGAGGCTTTTCTTTTTGCTAGGCAGAGGGCACCTAGATTTGTAGAAGGCAAGGGGCTAATGCATGCACTTTCTAAGCACTGAACACAAGCATGAACAGAATCTGCCTGCTGATGTCCCATGCAGACTGCCCTACAGATTATTTATGCCTGTGAGAAAGGACATGCTGTTTTTCAGTCACGTCTTTGAACTGTCAGTAGTTAGTAAGTAAAATATGGATCTTTAAGACAGAAACCCTGAATTGTGTGAGAGCCTGTTCCTACTTTATTAACAGTTTTTGCAAATAGGTTATTAGTTATGCAGGCTTGCCTCCTGATCAGCACAAATTCCAGCAATTTAATACATGCTTATACCTCTTTTGTCAGGACAAAAGAGCTATGGGAAAGTTCTGGATATGAAAGACTGAATGAGTGGTACCTGTCTCTCTCTGCACGCAGCACACCTCTTCCTAACCTGCTGTGAGCATCATAAATCTTTTCCCTCTCCTGTCCATTACTCTATTAGCTGGCAACTCATGGCAACCTCCAAACTCACAAGGAGGTATTTCCTTCAACATTGCTTTCCCCAGCTCTTTGAACCATGAAGGATGCACGAGTGAACACAATACTTCAGGTCCTGGTAGTTTGAACCTTAACCTGGACTCCAACTATAACAGGGAAAACATTCAGGCTGAAACCATGAAACTCATCCAATCACTATATATTGGAATCTAGCTGACCCCTGAGACCTTTTCTTTCACTGAGACTTGGAAATGTCCAAGTGTTTTGAATCCTAGATATCTGTATTTGAACCTAGTTGATTATGCAAAATGATTAACTCTGAAAAATTTGGCCTTAACAAAATGTTACAAAAATTATGCAATTTATGCGGAGATTGTATTTGCTATTCAAATCTTCCTATCCTCCACTTTTGTTGTAAAAGTCATAGATCTTTAGGGAAGCAATATTCTGATAAAATGCAGGGTAAGGAAGGAGTGAAAATAATGTCTTATCCCTTCTTTCTGAGGCTTAAACCTATGACAGAGGCCAAAAGATTTCTGTGGAGATTGTAACTTATGATTTGTGCTTGTTACATTCTACCTCCCATCCTGCCTGGCAAAAGCTACAGGTGTCCTGTAATCTCAGAGTAGCTCTGTCTCTTGGGAGGTCCTGCCTGTCCCCCAGCACTACAAAAGACCTCTCAATGCAGTTGTCAGTCTGGGACTGAAATCGGAGTCACACAGATCCTCTGACAGTACAAAAGGGACACCATTAGCCTAACAGGTAATGATAGTTGAGCTAAGCCAATCTCTAAGGGGCTGGAACACAAATGTAAAAACACCCAGCCCATGGGATCCTTCAGTCCTTTACCTCAGCTGCCAGAAAAAAGAAATGCAAACAGGTCAAGGTCAGGGTTTTTTCCAAAAGGTTACAGACAAGTGAGGCAGTTCCTTGCTTAACCTGAGAATATGTGTTATGAATCAGAGAAGATGGCACTCCTCATTCTTGCAGACAAGGAGAGACTCTTCAACAAACCCACAACGTGCTGCTCAGCCAACACTTGATAGCTCTTTCATCCATCTTTTTTGGGTATCTTCACAGACGTTTTCTTGAGAAGCTACTTCTGATTCTCTAATTGCTGCAAGTATAGTTTTTAACCTCCTCAACTCAGTCTGCGGCTACGAGATCCAAAATTGCTCTGTTCTCTCCCCAATCACCTGTTAAGCTGCCTGCTACTTCACTCTTCTGCCACCCAAGTTTCAAGGCCTCTTGCACTACTCCACTTTCTTATGATATGGGGATCACTTTTTTTTGTGTGATGCAGCTGGATTTAAATGAATGCATTAAATACCTGTTAATGCCTATTAATGAACTAACCACACTAACCAGGCTACAGTAATCATTTTTAAAAATTAAATAATCACAGATTTCTTGTAAAACCTTACTAGAAGAATTACAAAACCAAGGCCAAAATAAGCAAACACTTCAAAGCTTCAAATTCGCACTTACATTGTTATCCTTGCAGTAGTAGGAAAGAGCTGGGAAACGTCTTCGGCTCCGAAATTTAGAACTCCCCACTATGATGTGCGCAGTTGCAGATTTTGGTACATACACTTCTGTAGGATAGGAGTCACAGACCTGTGAAAGGAAACTGCTTATTTGGTCTACAAAGTACAAGTAACATTAGCCATCTCCACAGCAAAAACAAAATACCAAGGAACTCAAATCTTGGGAAATGTTCCATCATTATTGTATACGCATCACTGACATTTCTCAAAACATTTTTTTGAAGCTGGAAAGTATTAATCCTAACTTACAGATGGAAAAACTGAAGGAGAAGGATTGAAGGGCTGTATTTCCAAATGTTGATTCATGCCTTTTTGAGAACATACAGGTTTAACATACATTCATACCAGAAAAGATTTATCATTATGTACAGCAAGGTTTTATTTACAACTGCAGTTTTCTCTGTAGCACAATATGGGAGTAAGGATGGGAGTGGGTGAAGTTCTCAAACACCCTGTTATAATGGGAGATGACTATAGAGCCAAATTTTCCAGCAAATCTGATAATAATAATAATAAAAAAAAAAGGATAAAAATAGGGACTTGGAGAAAAGAAATTAAACCATGTGAAATGAGGGTACCAAAAGGCAAGCAGCCCTGACAATGCCTACCACTTCTGAGAGGAACCCTATGAGCCTGCAAAAAAAGCCCAGAAGTCCCTCTGGAGACAAGTAGGACCACGCATGGGGCCCTAATTTAACTTCCTTGTCCTGATACTGCCTGTAACATTCTGACTGGGGTCAAAAGGATATCCAGTATCTCCCTGTGACCTTCTGAGATGACTAAAGGAACTAGAATGCCCAGGAAAAAATTACTTTCTGAGACAGAGATATGTAATGAAGGAGAAAGGAAAGTTATGGCTTGTGGTTACAGATGCTGCTGTGGTGAACTGGATTTTATTCATGATGCCATTTTTCCTACACTTTATCTTAGAAGAGGCCAAACATTTTTTTCCACTTCTTTTAACAAAAAGAAAACAAATGCTGACAGCACATTTAGTCTTCTCTGAGAACTTCACAGACCTTCCTTAACATGGATCTGCTCCAGCAACAGAGCCAATGCAGTGCATGGAGAAACTTCAAAAATCCTTTGGTTATTATTTCTCACAATTAATTAACATTCTAGGGTCTTCAGTTGTACAAGGCCAAATGAGGCAGGACAGCAGGCAGCTAGGAAGATATATGACCTACTAGATGACTGTGAAAACACTCAATCACACAGGATTCAAAAGGAGTGTGGGAATAGCCAGTGAGGAAAAAATATTGCTAAGCTCACTATTTTTAACAATTTTTTTCATAAAATGACTGTGTAGTGATTTTATATAGCCCTACATGTCAGGAAAAATCTTATTCAAACACATAACATTAGGAATGATTTAAACTTCTTCCCAGGCAGCCAAACTCTAACATTTAAAACACTGTTTTCTGTGCTTCATTTTCACATCTGTTAAATAAGGACATAACCTTTCTCTCACTCTCTATGTGCCATTTTATGTGAAAGTATGGAAGAACTGCACCTTGTGACATGTGTGTACAGCACTCAGCACAAAGGGATCCTGCAACTAAGCACTGTGGTAGTCCACAGTCGGGCTGCTGATTTGTTTTACAGACAGCCTCCATAACAGAAAAATCACAACAACTCACTCCGTAGTCTCTGTTTACATCACAAATCTGCCAATAGTTGTTTGGAACACCCATCCGATTATATTCTTCATTGAGGTCCACAAGCTTCCAGCCTTGTTCTCGTTCTTCTTTATCTAATTTTGGATTGAATGAGAAGCAATACAGCTCTTCATATTTCACTGGGAAAAAAATAAGCAAACAAACAAAAACAGTAAACGGCTTCAGATTTCTTATCCTGAAATCACACTTTAAAAGCAGAACTTGGTGTTGGCCTTGATGCAGTTTCTTTTAAAGCAGTATGCTTTGTTTTACAAAAGCACATGTCCTGGTTTATATCTACTGTCAAGTTAACTTTGAAAGTATTGTGCTCTTTTGATATTTGTATATGTTGAAATAGAAGTGCTACTACAAATATACCATTCTGCTAAACTTCAGTAGAATTGTGAAGGCCTCCCCAGCACAAAGACAAAATGTCAGTGATATGCTTTCATCCAAAGAAAACTGCAGTCAGTGCCAGAGTAAGCACTTGTTCTGCAAAAGAATTTACCGTCTACTAGTTCAGAATTCCCTTTATTAATGTAACATCTATCCTGTGGCAAAGACATAAGATGTGAACAATGGACTATGCAGCACAATCTTACAAAAATTAACTCAGTAGTTTTTGTCCCTAATTAGGAAGGTTTCAAATAGATTCAGTGAAATCTTAGTTTTGCAGAGTGCAAAATTCTGTCCATGAATTACTGACAAAGGCATTCGAGATACAGATGACGTAATAGCATAAAAAAAGCATATGCTACATCAATCATTTTATCATGACCATGAAATTGTTTAAGTAGCTATGCCACCTGTCTCTGTCGATCAAGGACCATATAGGAAACGTTGATGGTGCTGGAGTTTTTTACTTTTTTTAGGAATATATCTGTATTTATGCTAATGAGTGTCTTAATCCTGGTGACCAGTGGCAGCCAGACACCACTGCCATTGAATGCCAACTGTTACTGACATGAGTAACTATTCAGCATACAATTTGAAATTCACATTTTCATTGATATTTAAGATATTGTGTCACAAGGGTGTGTTTCATTCCATTGCTCTAAGTTCCTTAAAGCTTTCTGACCAATAGGTTTTTAACTTTAGAACTGAGGCAAAGTAAATCACAAACTGAGTCCTCTATGATTTCACAGTTCTCCACTGATACACTTGCTTTACAATATAATTTTAGGGAGATCAGTAAATTTAAATACTACACTTTCTTTTCTAATAATATATAGTTAATAAGCAGTCTTAGAACACTACATTGTTCTGTACTGTACAGAATATAGAGGTATAAAAATAATACCCCCCATATTAATAATAAGGTTCCCACCTTTTTCTATAGAAAGTCTTTACTTGTATTTTGATTATGTCTTCTAAAGGTTTATTTTAAATTCTATTTTGCCTTTTTTAATTTCATTAAATTTGTTGTATATAGACATACACAAAAGTATGAACACAGGAAAGAAAACTTCATGTTATCTCTGTCAGGACTGTACAGCAAGTCAACAAAGTCTTCAGCAGGGAAAAAGAAAAGAATGATTTGCAAACTGTCCAACAATTTAAACTCTTTCTGTATTCTCTAATTTCAACCTTGTGGCATGGCACAGATGAGGAAGACAGTCTGGTTTACTTCTCATCTGTTAAAATGAAGTTTTAGCATAATCCATAAATCTAATCTGAGCGCTTTTTAATAAAGTGCTTTTGGTAGCAATCTGAGCTCTTGTTTTCACTGCTTCGTTGTCAGAAGCATCTGGATTTTCTTCCCGATGGACCTGCTGTTTACAGGCACATGGAAACCTTTTAAAAATTCACCTATTAAAATATATCCAGGTTACATATGACTGAAGTCTACCTCAATGTTACAGGTATTATTACATGATGGTATCTATAGGTGGTATCAAAAATGTTCAAGTATTAGTAGCAGTGCCTTAAAGCTCAGTCAGCACCCCTTTGCCAGTACTTATAGGATCTTTCCTAATCTTTCACAGTTATTTTGCTATAAGCAAGTAATAACTCTTACGGTCAGCTTGTTTCAAAAAATGGCTTAATTAAGCAAAAAGGCCAAATTCAGCTGACAGCTTGATCGTATTAAAATTCTAGCAAAAATAAAATTCTAGCATATAATTCATCTTTAACATAACTAGGACATCAGCTGGCATACAACATGTTAAGCCAGTACACAACATATCCTTCACTCAGGCTTTGCTATGGCTTAATGAATGAAAAGAACAGGCAGAGAATGGAAAGTAGAGCCTGAGTACCATTTTCTCCTCATGGAGCAAAGGGTACCTTCTAATGCTGAGTAACTGTATTACCTAAAGAAATTACAGCTTCATGCCCAAACAAAACAACATGGTCAAGAACTGTCAGGGTACATATGGCTCAGCTTGTAATCAGAGCCTTCTAATTTTGATTAAGTAAGCACAATTTTATCCTTCCTCACATCAAGACTGGATAGTTTGTTGGAGAAGGAAAACTACTGTGCAGTTGAACTACTTAAAGAGCTAATTCTACAGCACTGTTTTTCCATGTTCTTTACTCAAACCTTCTTGTCCATTGCAGTTTGCCACTGAACTTGTATTCAGGGTCCATAACTACCCTTCTGTCTGCCCGTTCTGGTGCATAGCAGCACGCACACCTCCTTCAGCCTCCAGAGAAAGAGCATTCCAGAACTGCATTCCTTCCAGCATGCATGAACACATGCTTGCAGCTGAGGTCCACGGAATGAATCCAGACCTATATCAGCAGAATCACTGACTGGATCTGTCTCGTTGTTTTAAAATTTTTCTAATTACTTTGAACCAGCATCACCTAGCATACCAAGTTACTTCTGCTACAGTTGTATATTACTACTCCTACTACTCCTACTACCCTAATTATAGAAGGTACCTTATAGTTCAGTAGCTGTGCTGGCTGACTGTGCAATTTTTCCCCCTCTATACAGTAGATGAAATTGGTGTTCTCCTAGCAAGATAAAAATTAAAGCCAGTGTTTTCAGCTTTGTGCAGTGTGGTAGACAATTTCTTTGCATCCTATTAAAATAATAGTAAGGGACAAAAGTCGGTGTTGTATTTCTACAGTTACAATTTTAAAAAGAAACAACCCAGAACCCTTGTCAGCTGGTTCTTAGGAGAGTGTAATGCAGAGAGGAGCTATAACATAGGCGATCAGATGTTGGACTTTAATGCAACATTTGGATTTTCACTGAAAAGAGGAAAGGTTTCAAAAGGATCTTGAACTGAATTCAGAAATTCAAACAGGGCACATTCAAAATGTAGCTAGTAGACAAAAACATGGGCAGGCTGGTGGAACAAATCAACTACTTGCTGCAAAACCTTTCACTGATCTTGAGAAATTTGTGCACAGCACAGGAAGTCAAAATTCAAATCTTGACATGACCACTAAATATATTGTAAGGTTTTTGTCACAGCAGGGACACAAAAGTTCCCTGGATTTAGACTATTTTCCTAAATTCACACTTACACAAGGCATCCAGCAAACAACAGCTGCATGTAAAATAGCATTATAATATATTTTATGGCCCATAGAGTATTATTTTAAACGAAGTTCATGTCATATTTTACAGAACAAACTACTTGTTATAATGTGCTTGCTTCATTGCTCCATAAGTGATTATTTTAATGTTTCTTTTATAACACACCTCTAATGAAGGTTTTTTCTTAACCTGCAAAGGGCAAAGACACACAGATACATTTCTTCCATTATATTCTCCCTCTTCAGGATGAGGATTACTTTTTGTGCCATTTCCTTCCCATACCTGGCCGTGCCAGACGGATCAGAGATATGTAAATGTCATGGCAGTCTCGTTCCTGAGGGATGACCAGCTGGATGACCTGGAAGTTCTTGCAGCGGATCAGCAATGGGCAACCAGTGGCAGTGGTGGCCTGCTTCTCAATAGAGGAAATTTGGCTGTGGAGAACCTGTAAAGGAATTGAAAATTGTTATGCCAATCAAATCTTTAAGAAGAAAAATAATTATTTATAATGATGTGCCAGGGCAGGCACAGTGGCTTCCACCACTGTTTCACAAAAACCCCTACACTTCTCCTCTTGTAGTTTGGTTTCAATCTCCACCTTCAGGCTCAAGTAGTGCTTGATACATCACCTGTAGACAAAGAAGCGCTTCTGGAGTGTTTCAGCTGCTCAAATATCAGCCTGCTCATGTTATCCAAAGCTTTTTGTTTGCTTGCTTTAGTGTAAGCTAGCGGTTGTCAGAGAAAGAGCACTTTTCATCTATTTGCACAGTGAAAAGATGAACCAGCACCACTTAGATAAGGCTAAAATATTGGGCCTTCTCATGGGTAGAATGGTAATGATGATATAATTTTACATGCTGCATCAGATGAGATGAAACATTACAATAAAAATCAGGTAAGGAATAGTGGGACCAGAAAAAGATGGATTTAATTAGTAAAAAAATGGACAGAGGATGCATCATGTATCATGGCTAGGCTTCGCGAACGAAGATTTGGGAAGGGCTCTACCCACGTTTGTTACAAGACAGAGGATGCATAATTAAGCTATATGAAAGATTCTCAAATGATCTGACACTGGAGAAATATTTGTACCTATATATATATACATGTGTGATGGGTTTGGCTGGGGTAGAGTTAATTTCTTTCACAGTGGCTGATATGGGGCTGTGTTTTGGAATTGTGCTGAACATAGGTCGATAATATAGAGATATTTTTGTTATTGCTTCCATGGAGTCAAGGCCTCTTCTGCTTCTCATACTGCAATGTTGGCAAGAAGGCTGAGGACGCCTGTGAAGTTGGGAGGGGACACAGCCAGGACAGCTATCCCCAACTGACCAAAGGGATATTCCATACCATGTGACATCATACTCATGCATACAAAGTGGGGGGAAGAAGGAGGAAGGGGTTTGTTTGGAGTGATGGCATTTGTCTTCCTAAGTACCTGTTATGTGTGATGGGGCTCTGCTCTCCTGGGAATGGCTGAACACCCGCCCGCCCATGGGAAGCAGTGAATGAATTCCTTGTTTTGCTTTGCTTGTGTGAGGCTTTTGCTTTATCTATTAAACTGTCCTTATCTCAACCCACAAGTTTTATAGCTTTTACTCTTCCAAGTCTCTCCCCAGTCCTGCTGGTGGGGAAGTGACCAAGTGGCTATGTGGGATTTGGTCAATGGCTTGTGGTTAAACCATGACAACATGCAATATATGTTATCAATCCGTCAAAATAGTTAATTCAAAATACTACATTATAAAAAAGATTAAAATATTAAAACAACAAAATCACTGATTCAGCACAAGCAGTCAGTGAGAGAGGCAAGAGTTGACAAAGCCAAGGTAGTAGTTCATATTCAAGGAATTTCTCCTCAGTTCTTCCTGGATGATAGGACCAATATTGGAGTTTACAGCAGTTGCTCCTCATTCAAATACATCTGGTATTCATACAGAGAAGGCCCTTCTACTCCTCCTACTGTACTGCAATATCCAGAATCCATTGAAAATTTTCAGAATTTACTAGGCTGGAACTTCACATGCCCTGAAGTTACAAAAGCATCCATATGAACTCATTCACTATGTCTAAACTGTTTTGCAAGTAATTTTCAAATTACCATCAATAAAGTGCCATGCACTTAAAGCTAACTGAAAAGACAAAAAATCATACCCAGGTTTCTTTACGGGTTTCAGAACCATTCTCCACAAATATGACATGGGTAGCTGTTAAGTACAAGGTTCCCAGAACAGCTTTCCTTGAAGATAAACGATCAAGTAACCGAACATTTTCCACCTATATAAAGAAATGACAGACAAAAAAAAATAATTAGGCTATGACAGAGCCTGCCATAGTGAAAGCTCCATGTCCACATTTTGTTTATTACAAACAAATTAAGTTCTTTTCAGTGCAATATGAAATATCAAAAAGTATAACTACGTGAGAAAATGTGATTATATTATGTGATCTATTTCCAGATGTACCTTAATTTTAATTTTTCCTCCTCTTGTGGTACTTCTGTATCCAACAACTTGTTGGCAAAGACTTTCAAACACAATTTCTCATTTGATCTTGTCTTTGTGATCTCACCCTATCAAAAGTTTGTGATAGCAAGGCAGAGCCCGGCCTTCAGCTAAACTCTAGCCTCATGTTTTCCATTCAAGCCATTTCAGAATTATCAGTGATACACAGAAAGCTAAATTTAAAAAATAAGAATAAGCAGAGATAACAGTGGTAGAGTGTCTTCCTTCATCAGGTCTCACTCAGGCTCCCAGGCAAATCTCTGTTCAGTGTTTGTCCCTACGCTCCTGTTAGGTCTGACAGTAGAGGTCACACCAGAAGTTTTTACCTTCAGTCACTTTTCAATGGGAATCAAGGACATCATATCCAGTGCTCTCCCACCTTGGGCATAAAATGGGCATGTTTGCTACAATCCTGACAGCAGGTGAGTCCATAACACATTATCAACTCTCAGATCTCCATCTTGTGGCTTGTACACCATTAATATTTTGTATATAGCATGTGTTATAGGCATCTGTCAGGGGTTGGAATGAGATGATTTTTAAGGTCCCTTTGAACACACAATATTCTATGATTTCTGACTGAGAAACTAGAACAATAAAAAAATCAACAAGGTGGATATTTAATGGGATAAAACCTGCCTAAAACAGTTAACAATTTGCAACCATGGGTTTGATGGGTTTCCTGCTACAACAATTTTAAAACTAAAATTAATTTTTCATAAAAAAACAGAATAATGCCAGCATATGAGAATTATGTGTTTACAATGTATATTCCAAAAGCACTATTTTAAAAATAGGAATAACAAAAACCTTAAAATCAAAATAAGCAAATGCCTAAAATCAAACAGTTATTAAAGCCGAGTCTTCTCCCTCAAGACCAATTATAATCCGCTTTAAACAAAAAGAAAACAGCCAGAAAGCATGGATGGAGCTTTTTCCCAGGACCATCTACCTCAGAGGTCACATATTGTGTTGAGGAGGAATTGAAGAAATACAATATTAACCCAGCAAGCATTCAATAGTAAGCAAAAGAGGAGGGATGACAGAAAAGAAAAATGTAGGCAGGGCCCTTCTAAAAGGAACCCAAAAAAACAACAATAAAAATTAGCTTTGTCTGAATGAAAAAAGGTCCCTACACTGCAGACCAGCCAATGAAGACTCTGCTGTACAGGCACTCAACTTGCATAAGGCATTCATCACTCCAGCCTACAAACTGAGGTAGCTTGGGCCATGAGATACAAAGCAAAGTAGGCATCCACAGAGCAGGGCAGTGCTGAGGGATGAATTTCCAGGCTTCCTAGTCACATCCTCTCCTCACTCATCAGTCTGAGCCTCATGACTGAACAATGCTAACCAACAAAGCTTCTCTTTGGTTGTGGGGTTTTTTTAATGCAGAACTACAAATAAAATAAAGGTTGGATATAAACAGGAACAGCTGCAATAAGAGGTATGTAGTAAGTCTGATTTCATTAAAGCAATTGCAATGGGTGTACCAGGTGAGATCAGAGATTCACCTCGCCCTGCAGTTTGTCTCTTAAGAGCAGACAGTTCCAGCAGCTGAAGGAAGAATATAAGACACAAGGATTTACAATCATGAACAAACTCTCTCAGGATCTTAACCCAGCCCTAGGGCCTTCCTAAGCTGAGGCCATGTTTTTTAATAGCCCTAACGGTGTTTAAATTCCATTAATTTTGCTGAATAACATTTTGAATGTCTGTAACCTATTGGCACCCACAACACCCTCTAAGAGTGAACTTCACGTTTCAGCTATGTATTGTATAAAAAAAAGTCTTCCTCTTGCTCATTTTGAACCTGCCACCAGTAACAGGTGTGCCACACATTTGGTGAACAGTTTGGCAAACAGGGAATGTTCCTTATTTACTGTCTCTGTGCCACATATCCTGTTACCCATCCTTCCCTCTGTCCTCACATTCCAAGAGTGCAGAGTTCAGCTTTATTTTGAGCTACTCCAGACAAGCTCTTCCACACTTCTGATCATCCTACTTGATGTCTGTTTCCTGAGAAAAGGCCAAAAGTGCAAACAGAATTCAAGAGCTGCATGTGATATGTTTGTGTAGGGGAATTGTGATGTTTGCTGTTTTGTTTTCTATTCAATTTTTTGAAGTTTTCAAACACTGTTTGCTTTTTTGTTCTCTGCTGAACACAGTGGGTTTTGGGGTGGTTTATTAGAACTAGCAATTGTAACTTAAATCGTGTCTGGATATATAAGTTAAGATCTACCTCTCATGTGTATTACCTTACATTTATTAATGATAAATTTAGTCCATCAGTATAATGAGATGTTGCTGCAAGCCCCTACAGCACTCTTACCTTTCTCCTACCTTGAATAACGTCAGTACTACCAGTGAATTTTGCCATCTCTGGCATCTCCTCCCCTCCCTGTATCTTTCAAAACATTTGTAAGTTGAACATCACAGGCTCTTACAGATTCATGGGATCTCTAATAAGGAGTTCCCTCCATTGCAAAAATGAAATATCCTCCGCATGAATCTCTTACCCTATGATACTTAAGTTTCTTCAAGACCCTTTGATGAAGAACATGTTCAAATGAGTTCTGGAAGACCAACTAGCTTCTATAAAATGGATCATCCTTATCCATATGTCCAGTCACTTTTTCAATGAAATTTTAGAGGTTCTGGGTTCCTCTTTGAAAGCTATGCTTATTCTCCCCTTTTTTTTACCATACTTACCCATAAATCTTATGATTTAGAAGGGGGCTTAAGAGAGCATTACAGGTCCTACCAATCTCTCAGATTACTTGTCATATTTACTACCTCCATTTTTTTCAGAGTGGGAAACTTTTAAGCCTTACACCATCATTACTGGTTTAGTAAGTACAAGTTAGTATTTGTTATTAGTATTTAGTTTAGTACTTTAGTTCTTTTAATCTGCAGGGATACCATACTGTCCTAGTAATTTTTTACTGTTCATGGTTGCCAATTTTTTTGAAATGTCTTCTTATAACACTTGTGTTGCTGACAAATCTTCTGATATGTTCTTGACAGAAAAATATGTCAGAATGTACATGTCTCCAAACACCTTCCCTACTTTGACAATTTACTAGTCCTGTAGATTTTATGTCAGGATTTTACCTACTTAAAGAGAGATTGAAAATTACTTAACTAGCATTTTTTGCCAAGTTGTTCTTCAAAATCTCTTTTGGCCTTTCTTTAATTTATATATTTAAATTGTTTATGCTTTGTTTTCCTCATTTAGGCAGAAATTCAACTTGAAGAAAGCCCTTTTACTTCCAGTAAAAGAAGTCCTTTTAATAAGAGACATCCTCTTAGTCCTTCACCCTGCTGTTTAGCTATGCAAACCTTTTTTTTTTGGTCTTTTTTTAAAGCCTTTCCCTGGAAGCTGACTTACAGTGAGCTCTCATATTTAAACAATCTTCAGGCCTCCTATAAACATTTTAAATTTTGGCTCCCTTTATTTTTAAACAGTTTTCACATTTTTTATGTAGTTTTCTCTTTAAAGTTGAACATTGCCATGGGAGATTTTTTCCCCTTTTTTTCTTCTATTTCAAGAACACTGCATCTAAATGCGTTAGCTGCTGTCACACAGATATTCTAACTGTATTTTGAAACAGATCTTTCTGTTGCTAAGACCAAGTCTTAGAATTACTCAGAATTACTTTTTTTTCTCCAAGATAAACAAATAGCTGTTATATAAGCAATCGTTTAAAAACCCTAAAATTTGATGCAGAATCACAACCCCCAGCCAATTTACCCAATCTCACTTGGTAAATTATATCTCCCACTGCTATTGCATTTCTTGTCTTCATGCCCTGTTTGATCTTGATCAGGTTTTTCATGGGCAATGTCACTATTTAGGTAGGACAGTTGTTACTGTAGTCCCAATATAGGACTGCTGTCCTGTGGTGCTACAGTTCTAGTTTTCCCCTTTAATCTTGTAATTTCAATCTGTAGGGACTCTTGGCTTTTGTGGTGTAGTTAATCCATGAAATTCGACTCTGTTTACTTCAAGACAAAAGAAATCTGTACTTTACCTGTATTTCCCATGTAATTTGTCATCAATGTGCCTGTCACATTGATTATTTTTCTTCCATTAAGTTTCTAACATGCCTATTACATCAACATTCCCATTTCTAAACTAATACTTTAGTTTCAGTTCTAGATTTTTAATATTTCTAGTGAAATACACACATATTTGGTCCAATTTCCTATCTTCATTTGCTGTGGTTAGGCACTTTCCGTTTACTGAGAATATAAAAATTTTTATACTAACAATTTTTTGTGACACAGCACAGCATCCAAAACATCATATATTTTCTGCATTCTCACAAGGGCTTTTCAGTTCTTCAGTATATCAGTGTGGATAAGCACAACTCAGAATCAACTTTCCTACCAGGCTCAACAAGGAAAACGTATTGTGAGAGAAGATGCACGACTGAACTTTTAGGTAGCCCTTATTTCTGCTGATTCTAAAGAATAAAGAGTCAGTTAAAATTAGTTAGAGCTTCAAAATTTGACTCAATAAAAATTAGCATTATGAGTTGATTAGCCTTGACTACCTCTCAGGTAGAAAGTGTCAGTCTGTGATTGCAGTATGAGGAAAATAAACCAGGTTTACTAATAACCTGCTTCATAAACCACCTTATCATGTCTAACACCATTTCTAAAGAGAAAGGGAATTCCTAAAGTCTAAACCCTACCTGGATTCAAATCCACAGTTATGATTTATGGTGAGTAAGTGGCATTACATGCCTTCAGGAGCAGTAATGATCT